GCTTTTATTGTCTCAAATGCCGATTGCTCCCTTTTCCCGTGCTTTTTCTCGCCTTAAACATGTATAGTTGGGGACTTAGACCTTTTAAATTCTCTTATTTTCTCACAATATCTGTCATATTTATGGTATTTATCTCCTACTTTTAGCTGTGTTCTTGGGATCTAAAACTTACTTTCTAGATTTACTTGTTATTAATAGTTAAACTGTGTGTAGTTGCTCTTACCTATTTTGGGTCAAATCCCTATCATTACAAAATTAAGATTATTCACTATTAATTTACCTTTTTTTCTAACTCGTCAAAACACTGCTTCCATTTATGTCTGTATCACAAATCGAAAATATCGGCTCAATGTTATATCTCGTATATATAATAATTGTAAAGTCTTTGCAAGCCCGGGCTTAAAATTCGACTAAAATGGGCAATGTATGTCTAAAAATAAGTAATATGAGATGTATCCACCCAATTTCGTTTAAGGTGACGAAGGACTGGTAGAAGAGTTTTCCCACAGTGATATGAGTTGAGCTGACGTTTCCATTAAATTTCACATAGTCTTGCTTTCCCAAAAGTTGTTTTCATCCAGGGTGGACTGCAGCTTCGACCTTACATCGTTCTTATCAAGACCCTCAGCGAGAGTCAAACCACGACAGTGCAGAATGTGAGCTTGAAACGCTAACCACTTTGCTACACTGCCGCGAGCGCCTTTTGGGTCATAGGGCAAATGTGAATTTTCAAGGAACACCAGGTCGTTTTGCCATGTATTCTTTGGTTGGATTGTCGAAACAATACTTAATGCGAAAAATAAAGTAGAGTAGTCGATTGTTATAGCAAATATACGTTTGCTTCGACAATCCCACCAAAGAATATGATATGGCGAAAAGGCCTTGCCTTTCTTGAAAATTCACATTTGCCCTGTGTCCCAAAAGGCGCTCGTGGCAATGTAGCCGAGTGGTTAGCGTATCAAACTCCCATCCTGCACTGTCGCGGTTCGACTCCCACTAAGGTTGCTGATAAGACCGATGCGAGGTCGAAACAGCAGTCCACTCTGGATGAGAACAACTTTTGGGAAAGCAAGGCTATGTGAAATTTAATGGAAACGTAAGTTCAATTCATATAATTGTGGGAAAATTCTTCTACTAGTACTTCGTCACCTTAAACGAAATTGGGTGAATACATCTCATATTACTGATTTACTGGTAGTCTCGAAACAATACTTACTGTAAAATAAGTAGCACATTATGCCGAATTGTATATAGTTCTTAAGAGTTGCTTGCTAAGGCATATTAGATAGTAGGTATGAAGACCAAGATCGTGTGGCCTGTTTTTTTTAGCTTTATAGTGTTGATTTAACCTTGTTTTCGCAACTTGATCGGGGCATCACGGAAATCTTGTGGAACGTACATAGTCCTGTGTTCTCTGCCATATTATTTGTGATTTCTAGCATTGGGCCATTGGCTAGGTACATTCCCCCTATTTTTTGTTCTACCCTTTAATGCTACATCTCTTTTTCTCAACCTCACTTTATTTGACCCATCCACTTATTCACACATTTTTGGGCTCTCATTTCCTTCAGTGTCATCTATGTGGATGGGTCTTATGAAGCGGGGTTGAGAGAAAGAGATGCGGCACTAGAAGATAGAACATAAACTAGGCGAAAGGAGTGATGCCATAATGGTGGAACAGAAAATTGGTCACTGGGATCGCCTTCATTTGTCACTGATAAGTTGTAACTCCGTGCTTAAGATGGCATCTCTCACTGATGATGCCGGCAAAACGGTTGGGGATGTATCCAGCCAATGGTCCAATACCACAAAATCACAAATACTATGGCAGTAGACACGGGACTAGGCACGTTCCAAAACGTCTGATGCGCTGACCAAGTTGCGAAAACAAAATCGAACCAACGCTATAAAGCATATTAGGTTCATCTTGATTTTCACAGTTTGAAGTAATTTAATTGACTTCAGCTTCATAAATTTAGCTTATGTTAGATGATGATTTGTTTTTTGTGGGTCTCTGTTTCCTAGCTAGGTATATTCCCTTGACCGATCCCATCCTCTACGTCACTTTTGTGCTAATTTTATTTTTCTGCCTTGATCTTAAGTTTTAGGCGCTGTTATGTTGACAAGCTAATAAGAATAGGAAAATCATTCTCTATTTTGAGCATGCTTTCGCGCATTATTTTATAGCGCTTATTATCCATACTTATTTTTAAATTTAACAGACAACTTTGGTAAATTTG